AATTTTCGGAGGCCGAATACAACGCCAGCGATGCGGATGAGCCCGAAGGCGAAAGCGTAGGGACCTTGTTCTCGAAAGCCCCACGTGTCAAAACGGGGATTTGGACCCCCGAAATGGTGGAGTTGGACCCGATTTGGAAATGGCGGATTTGGACCTTTGAAACGGTGGTTGTTCCTTTTGGTGTCCCTTGGCATCACCTTCCGATGCCTGACTCTGGCCAGACGAAGTCAATGGCGTAGACTGCGAGCTGCTTGGCACGAACTTTTGGCCACGTGGCTGGCGGAAGCTGCATCTATGAAGTCTGCACATCATGTGTGCATCTATGTATGTATATATATATATAGAACGTGACGCAACATGCACAGATGCACACATGTGTATTTATGTATATGCATATATATATATATATATATACATATGGATATGTATTATTCAGAAAACGAGGGAACGGTCACACATGTTGATATGTCATGTACAGGCAGATAAATAAACAAATGAACAAATTAGTAGATACTTGTAGACAAACACATGAACGCGTACATCAATAGAGGAATGCATCAATGCAACATAAATACATCATCACGTATATACTCATATATATATATATATGTACAGATACATACATAGCTACACCTATTTGTACATATATATATATATACATATATATATATATATATATACAAGTTCATGTAGCTGGTGCAAGTCGGGCAAAAAAAGCCGATGGTGCATGCAGAGTCAACAAGCGGCTATTCAAACAAAGTTTCTACTTGTGAGTTGGTTGATTTTTGCCCCAATCGGCCCGGGGCCGGGCTCGACTCCTCCCTGAACCCGCCTGCTGGTCCTCTTTCCCGTGCTTGTGCTTTCGCTCACATTCTCGTTCTCAAGTGAGAGGTCCTTTCCACATGGGCATCATGTGCACATGCAATAAGGCATAATCCCTTGTCAACGTCGCAGTGGCAGACCTCAAGAGCCCCACTCTTTTGTTCGCGGATGGTGATATTTGAGGCAAGTCACCACCGTGGTCTTCCCAACAGAGATGTTTGTTCGTGGATGAGGGCAGAGTCCAACCCAGTGTGCCAAATTTAAACATGATGCAACTATTTCAAGCATATTCGTGCATCGGTCGACATGCAAAAAAAAGGCTCCAGGCGGCGAACACTGGATTCAGTGGACAGGTGCTATCAGTAGGGTGTCTTAGAGGGGTGTATGCATGGAACCCTTCCCCCCATACGCAGCCTGTAGACGGAGGTCCTATATCTAGGATCCCCTATTGAAATCCCAGGTCAGCTTAAGTTGCCCCGAGTGCCCGGACCCTGCGAAAACTTACCTCCCCAACGCCACACTTGCGGCAGATTCCAAGCTTTTCACTTCAGCGTTATGACCAGGTTGAGCGCATACGTCCAAAGCTCAGCTGTTTCTCCGGTTTTGCTGGACCTGCCATGATTCCCTTCCAGGCCAAGCAAGATGACGGCCGATGCGCCCCTCGCATGAAGGCCTTCGCGGGTGCTCTACCGAAGGCGTCTTTGCTGTCGCTTCTCAGGACGATTCAGATGTTCTTGCCGGTGTCTGTGATTGGCGCAGAGCTCAGCGGGTTGCAAACTCCCAAAAAGAGACACGTGCAGCGTGGCTGGTGTTTTTGGTGCAAAGCTTGGGCCGTGTCCAAGAGCTTGTGCAAAGCCTGCCGCACCATAATCGTGTGGCATCCGCTCCATTCTTGAGACATGCGGCGTGCCCCTTCCGGCAATTCGCTTTTGTTAACACAGAACACGACCTGCTGCTGACTGCAGTTTCTGTTCAAACATGTTTGGGGAGGCAGCTTGTTTGAAGGGTTGGATGAGGTTCCAGGCGCATTTACTCATTGTCCAACCCATCAACCGAGTCGCCTCATCCACAAACCAGAGGTTGGGGGTCGAACAAACTTTGCAATTCAAGCGACATGAGATCCCATGGATGTTGACGCCCCACTCAACTGTTGAATGTTATGGTTTTGAGCTTCTGAGCAAGATGCGGCATTCAGTCACTATTGATACTTCGGAACCTGACTCAGACATCGTCTGCGCCAGAAAAGGCTGAATGTCTTACTGTTGACCCCGGAATAATAAACCCCTGTTTATCAATCCGGGTCAACATTACAAAGCAATGCATCGCAAGGTGGAAGGCTCTCCAGGCGGATGCTTCGTCCGGCTCCCGCTGCGACTGATTCCTGGGGCAATGCCTTGTAGAGCTTGCAAGAATCAGCTGGCAGCATGGGGCAGGTTCGGCTTTTTATCCTCAAGTTGGGGGTGTAGCAAGTGTACATGTTTTACACTGTTCTTTGTGGTCTCCAGTTCCTATTCTGTGGTCTGTCTTGCTGTTCTCTTCATCCGTAAGGACTTTGCAGATTTACCAACTGAACATGACATCAGCACATCCAACGTACAGAGAGACCAAGGGGCACGCACCTCTCCCCCCCAAAACCCTTAAGCAGCGGACCCAGTGAACGGTTTTCGTTTGCGTCTGAGGCCTGAGACGAGCGTCACACTGGATGAGGCCGGGGAATCTGCGAGACCTTCCCGGCCCGAAGAACGAGGGTCCTGGCTCGATGGGTCCTTCGATGGGTCCTTCGATGGGTCCTTCGATGGGTCCTGGTTTAGATGGTTTTATAAACCAAATTTTGTTTCTCAAAGGCCCGGGTTTGCAACCGGTTGGGTGATGGGTTCTCTGGTTTAGAGGGTTTTGTATCAAAGGCCCGGGCTTGAAACCGGTTTTTATCACCAGGCAGTTTCCCAGCCTGGGGATATGTTCCAATTACGAAAGCGAGCCAAGCTTGATATCTTGCAGGGAAGGATCGAATCTGGGCTTTGGGAATGAGCCGGAAGTTGGTTTCCCTTAAAGCAAACCAAAGGGGACGGTTTATAGGGTCATTCCAACTCATTCCCAGCTGAGAACCAGCAAGCTATGCATCATTTTTCCAGTTTCGGTCACCTGTGCCGTGGACCACCCCTAAGTGAAAGCCGCTCATTCGATCTGTGTATGTCACTAGTTTGGACACGCCTGTGCAGATACGCTTCAACCAGTTGCAGGAGGTGGAAGAGATCAAGCGTGTGTTTGCCCGCAGGACAGCTGTGCTGGCAGTTTGTAGCTGTCGATCGGCCAGCTGGCTCCAGAATCCATGAGCTCGCTTGAACAGGGCCGCCCAAAACTAACCACACACATTTTGAGGCTTCGCCACTTTTGACACACACCGATGTTGCCTGGATGTTGGCCTCAGCTGAGCCTTGTGCGCCGGGAGTTCTACGCTAGTCCTTGCCCAGGAGCGTTCCCATGAACGTGGGTGTTCTGGAGAGGGCCCTGGTGATGCCGGCGCACAAGCTGAATGCCACGCCCTCGGAACGGCCTACGCAGCGGCATTTGACCAGGTTCGTGTCACCAAATGGGAGCCTCGCTCGTCTTTTTGTAAGGTTGGCCCCCTCCCCAGACCCCCAAAATGTGCACCGCTTTCAAGCCACAAAAACCAGTGGTGCCAACTCCAAGAAGTCCGACACCACCAAATATCCTTGACCCTAAAAAGACAAGCCCAACGGCAAAAAGAGATGCATTGCCTTGTCCTGGTTCCACGGATCTGCTTCCGATCTCCTTGCCCAGCCTGGCCACCTGAACGGCATCTACCTGGTGAATACCAAGCCGCCGCCCGGCATGGAAGCGGCACTTTGCCTGGGCAAATCGAGTTTGGTACGGGAAACCATGCCAGGGGTTGTAGCCGAATCAAACAATCCAGGGGGGTTTTCAACGTCTTTTTGGTTTCCAAGGTGCGATTCTTTTCATTGTTTGCGCCCAAAGAGGCTCACTTGGAAACGGTGTCCTTGACTTCTTTTTCTCTTTTTTTTTCGTGCTCGATGCCGAGCATTTTCACTGCAGCCAAGGGACCTGCTGTCCAACCCCTTTATGGCTCGCTCCTCGATGTGCCAAGTGGAGGAAAGTTCCTCGAGCTGCAGATGAGGCCAAAAAGAAGAAGCCGAAGAAGAAGAAGCGCGGCAAGAGCGCCTGCAGCTGAGACTCCTCTTGTGGTGCGGCTCGTTGTGTTTGTGTTGCCGCCTTTTTTGTTTGTCTCACGTGTCTTACGCGAAGAACGCGGTTTGTTTTTGGCTGAGAAGTTAAAAACAACACACAAAGGACACACACGACTGTTTGGGTGCATTGTGTTAAAAAGGGGTGCGTTTGTGGGAACCAAGATGAAATCACTCATTTTGGAAGTTCCCACATTTTAAGACGCTTTCGTTTGTGGAACTGCATGCCTAGGCAGGCAAGGGCAAAGGCAATGCGAAGTCGAGCGCGAAAGGCACGACTCACAGGGGTTTCGAGCCCCGTATTTTTGATGGGTTTTGAAGGGAAACCAACAGCAAAACCACCATTCTAGGGGTGCCTAAGAAAAGACACACCCATGTTCTGTTTTATGCAAACAATTTGTGGGGACCACTCATGTGAAGTGTGCATTCTCGAAGCGGGGACGGACATCAATAAGCAATTTGACTGGCTGCTATGGGGATTGGATTGCAGGCAAGAAGAAATGACTTCCGTGCGTGCTGCGTGTGGTTGCAGGAGTCTCGGGTTTCAGATTTGTGGAGCTTGATTGAATGACTTGCATGCAACCAGTCTGTTTCAACAGCACAAGGCTTGAGCATGTGCCTTGTTTTGGGAAGCGCATCTCTTTGGATTGCAATTATGCACCAAGGCCGGGACTGCCTGGAGAGTGCATGAGATGTTTGGACCTGTATTCGCTTGTGCTTGACTGTGAATTGCTCTGGCCGACTTGGTTTGCCTCAGCACAGGCGTGGCATCATTGTTTCAGGGCCGAGCCCGGAAAGCACCATGTCTGCCTGATTGTCAACACCACCTTGCCTGGGCGGATGGTGTGTTCCAGCTGCATTTGCTGCATTCTTTGAATGGAAGCTTTTACATGAGGCCTCAGAAACTTGAGAGCAACTCATGGTTACAACCTATTGTTGCAAGTAGCAATGATCAAAGAATTACATATCGAATGAGGTATATTCCCAATTATTAGAACAATCAATATTCTAACACCATTATATTCATACTCTGATATAAATTTAAATATGGAAATATTATATATAGATTATAACAAAAATAACACTTTTGATATCGAAACTTCACGACTACTACTAATATCACTATTACTATTATTATTGTTACTTTTTTTTATATTAATATTATTATTATTAATATTATTATTATTATTCTTATTATTAATATTATTGTTATGAATATTATAATTATAATTATAATTTTTAAATAAATTTATGTTTTGATTTATATTTTAATTAATATTTTTTATGGGGGTTTTTTATATATATATATATATATTATTTTTTTTTAAGGTATAAATAAATTGATTTGGATGAGATTTTATAAGTTATGTTTGTTGTTTTTTAATTTTATATATATTTTAGATTAAATTTTGGTATTTTTGTTTTTTGGAATTGATATTTTGGGAAGACATGAATTGATAATATAATTGGGATTGGATATAATTGAGATTTTACGATTTAAATCGAAGAATAATGAATTTTTAAGAAATCTTATTTGGAATATTGGATATTGATTAGGATTTAATTGAAGCTTTTTGGGGGGGTTTATTTATAAATAATAAGAAAAGAAAATATTTTGTGGTTTGGGTTGTTTTTTTATTGATTTTATATTTAGATAAATTTTGGGTGTTTTAGGGCAATTTTGAGGTAAGATTTGTAAGAAATTTGTGAACATTGTAAAATGGTTTATGAGGGTTTTGGGAGTGGTTTATGAATGATTTTGAGGAGGGGTAAAGGGAATTGAAAATAAGGTTTACGAAATTGTATTTAATCCCTAATAACATAATAAAGTATGAATCGAGAATCGAGAATCTCGAAATTATTTCGAAATCCAATAATCTTTATAATCTCAACCCTTATGATCTAAAACCTTAATTTACGATAATAAATTATATTTTATATATAAAATTTATACTATGTTAAAAAAATAATTCTAAAATAAACTATTATAGAAATGAAGAGCGGCTTTTATATATTATATATTATAATAAAATATGTGTTTAATTTATTTTCTAATCTCTATATAATATAATCTCTATATCCTTATTGTTTTTTAAAATTTAAAGAAGAATAATTTAATATTTTAATTAATTTATTATTTCTTTTATTTCTTTTGCTCATTATCATATAACTTTTCGCTAAATAAATTGCTATTACAAAAACTATTAAACAATAATATTAATTAAATTTCAAAATTTATTTTAATATCATTCCCCAACAGCTGAAAGCTTTGGGGTCTTAGCCCAGATAGGCTCCGGGGTGGTTCGGGGCGACCCCGAGCTAAGGTTCCACCAGGGTTCCACTAGAGGTTCTATCAAGGTTCCACCAGGGTTCCACCAGGGGTTCCACCAGATTTCCATCAGGGTTCTATCAGGATTCCACCAGGGTTCCACCAGGGTTCCACCAGGGTTCCACCAGCGTTCCACCAGGTTCTGCAAGGGCGAGGTGGTTTGGGGTGGTTTGAGGTAAGGTTCCACGAGGGTTCCATGGATTTGAGGAAGGTTTCACAAGGGTTCCGCCAGGGTTCCACCAGGGTTCCAGGCTGCGGGGTGGTTTGGGTGGTTTGAGGTAAGGTTCCACAAGGGTTCCACCAGGGCTGCAGGGTGGTCCGGGGTGGTTTGAGGCAAGGTTCCACGAGGGTTCCACCAGGGTTCTAGCAATTTCTTCGAGGACTAGGGTGGTCTGATTTGAGGAAGATTCCACGAGGGTTCCACCAGATTTCCACCAGAATTCTGCTAGGTTTCACCAGGTTCTGCGAGGGCTACAGGGTGGTCCGAGGTGGTTTGAGGTAAGTTTCCACGAGGGTTCCACTAGGGTTCCCCCAGCCCGTCGTGCTCCGGACGAGGGTTCCACCAGGGTTCCACCAATTTCTTCGAGGGTGCGGCGTGGTCCGGGGAAGATTCCACGACGGTTCCACGACGGTTCCATCAGTGTTGACCAGGGTTCCACAGCGGTCCGGGCTGGTTTGAGGTAATATTCCATGAGAATTCCACCAGAATTCCACCAGGTTTTGCAAGGTAAGGTTCCATTCCAGCACGGTTCTAGTAGGGTCCCACGAGGTTCTGCGAGGGCTGCGGGGCGGTCCGGGGTGGTTTGAGGTAAGGTTGTATGAGGGTTTCAGGGTTGCACAAGATTCTGCGAGGGCTGGAGGTTTCACAGGGTTCCACAAAGCTCTGCAATAATTCCATACGGGCTCCACAAGGCTCCACAATGCTCCACCAAGGGTGTGTCGTGCGTCCGTCGTCTGAAAAGCCATCGGATCAAGATCGCTTTGCTGATGGGCGGAACACTAAGCAAAACCGAAATCAATGATTTTCAGCACACTTTCACTGTCTTGTGACTTGCTCACTTGCTCAGGCAAATGTTGGCTTTGTGGCAAATCAGATCACGTCGCTACGGAACTCATGGTGCAGCAAAGTAAATGCTTGGCATTGCTGTTTGGTGGGCTTTAGGTTCCAAGAATTCCACGAGGCTGCAAGGGCTATGAGGTCAGAAGGTTTCCACCAAATTCTGCAAAAGCTATGGGGCAGCCCTGAGGAAAGGTTCCAGCAAAATTTCACGCTGAGCTCCACGAAAATTGTGTGAAAACGGTTTGCGAGGTTCACCGATTGCACTGTCAGGGCCCGCCCGATTGCACCGTTTGGGCCCGATCGGCCCCGATTGCGCCATCGCGCCCCGTCAATTGTACCAAGCTGGCATCGTCCAATTTTGCTCTATACAATTGCAATCCGCATACTAAGGAAAACCGGCGTTAAGCTATAAAATGGGTGGCTGGGGTTACACCACGGGACGATCGGGACCCAATTGCACCGTCGGGCCCCGATCGGGCCCCGATTGCGCCGTCGGGCCCCGATCGGGCCCCGATTGCGCCGTCGGGCCCCGATCGGGGCCCGACCGTCTATTATCCAAACTGGCATCGCCCAATTTTGCTAAAAATACAGATGCAATCCGTACGCTAAGGAAAGCCGGCGTTGAGGCTATAATATGGGTGGCTAGGGTTGCACCACGGGACGATCGGGGCCCGATTGCACCGTCGGGCCCCGGGCCCCCGATTGCGCCATCGGGCCCCGATCAAGGCGAGACTGCGCTATCACTCGTAATTTTACAAAGCGGCATCCTCAACAACACCGGCGGTAAGGATGGTCCCGGAGTGTTCCACGAGGATTCTGGGAGGGTATGATGCTATTAGGGATATCGGCCAAACTTATTCATTTTTAAACATTTAAGATTTATCAAAAACATATCTTAAATATATCAATTATATTGTTTATTCATAAATGGTCTTGCATTACATATCATAAAATTAATCAATATTTCTCAAAACATCTATAATATATTATCCCAAACCATACAATTCCATCATAATCCATATTATAAAACTTAAAAATCCTATCTCATTTTCGGAGTATTCCCCAACTCATTCAAAACCTAAATAAACAATCATAATTCGAATTGTATTTTAAAAAATATTTATTAATTTCAAGAATATAATTAATTATTAAAATAATTCATTATATATATATAAAAATAGGAATAATATATATTTAGGAATTATTATAATTAAATTTTTGGTATAAGATTAATTATAAATATATATATTATTTATTATTTCATAAATTTTAATATTTAATAAATTTTGTATTACTTAAATTGTATTTTCAATTCCTTTTATATTTTCATTAATATAATCAATAAATACAATATCATAAAATTCTAATAAATTCCTAAAATCCATATTAAAACCACCTATTTAAATTTTAATAAAACCCTCTAATATCCCCCCCCATAAATCCTTAATAAAAACCCCTCAAATATCTAAAAAATCAATAAAGTATAATTTACTAAACATTATTTGTCATTTCTATAAATTATTTTTCAAAATCCAACCCCAATATATATATATATATATATCTATAATTTAATAATAATATATAAAATAAAACAAACATATTATATATAAATATATCAATTAACATTATAACACATATTATACAACCAAATCAATAATAACTATCGAATTTCCCATCAACAACCAATTACACCAACAAACACCTTCATAATTCTAAATTTAAAATACAATAATCAGCTCATTAAAAAAACATCTACTCATTCAAAATAATATTTTAACCATATTTATCTTTTTATTTTAATTCCAAACTTTCAACAACAATCCTTTTGTTAAACCAATATCTTAATACAATCTCAAAAATAATAATTATCCAAATAAATAATCTAACAAATACAATAAATAACAACATCAATCAAATCCCAACAAACACACCATACATAATAATTAATAATACAAAACAATATATAAAAATACATATATATATATATATATATATTTAAATCATATTACAATAAATCAATCTAAAACATATTAATATATACAATCTCAGCCCAAATATAGGCTACGGGGTGCTCCGGAGCGGCCGTAAAGTAAGGTTCCACGAGGGTTCAACCAAAATTCCACGAGGGTTCTACAAGGGGTACGGGGTGGTGCGAGCACTAAGAAGAGACCCGCATGCTTTTGGGGATATCTTGTTATTTTTTTTTCATTCAACAAATCATATTCAATATTTATATATTTATACTATTTTTCCTTAAACAAATACCTGTATTTTAAATTGTATCATCAACAAATAATGAAACAACTTGAATATGGGTCTGTGCCAAAACAGGAATTCCAAAAATTGTTCACGACCATATTCCCATGTTATTTTGTCAGCTGCGCCTCTGAACAGCATGCGCGGAGGCTTTGAGGGCAGAATTGAGAATGCATATCGGTATTTCTGCAAAATTCGCACCGGCAAGGATGGGCTGCTCGCCAAAAGCTTGGGGTAGCTGACCAAATATCGAAAGGTCAAAAGACGGCTTTGGGCAACTGAGACGAAGACGCATAACAATCCAATCTA